CGGCGGCCACTGCGCGCCCACTGCCTTCACGCACCTGACGCCATGCGACCCTTTGCCGGGAGCCGGGACCTTCCCAGAGCGCGGCGCTCCGCCATCCATCGCGCCCAGCTCATCCCGAAATAACCTGCTCAGGGCGCCGAGTTGCAGAGCTTCTAGTTTTGTTGTGTCCAAAACTTAGGTCCCCTACGCTGTGCATTTCATTCATAAAATGCATTTGAATGTATTTACACGTCTATTTTCTTTCCCTCAAGTAGACACGAGGACGGGAACTTTAGAAAACCATAGTACGCGCAGAGCCCAGCAAAGCCATTCAAAGTGGGTCGTCCATATTTGTTGGATTTGCTGAATGGATGAATGAATGATTGGTTTCCAGAGGAATTAAGCTCACTTTCAATTCGGTGTGGATTCCTTGGAAACCACAAGATCTGAAAAGTTAGACAGAGATGGGACTACTTTTCAGAAAAGGTACTTGGGGGAACTCTTTTCTGTTATAGAACTTTCCAATTTTGTAAATAGTGTCAATGTCACAAAATCAACATAAGAAGGTTGTTTCTTGGGCTTGTCCACTTTCTGCTGTTAGAATTAACCAACACAGACCAGCTGGGTGGCTCAAAGATGGACCATCCACCTATGAACCAGGAGGTCATGGTTCCTATTACCGGTGGGGTTGTGGGCTGGATCCCCAGTGCGGGGGCGTGCAGGAGGCAGCCGGTCAAGGATTGGCTCTCATATTGATGTTTATATCTCTCTCTCCCTATCTCCCTTCCTCTCTGAAATCAATTTAAAATATATATATGTAAAAGGATTAACCAACACAACTCAAAAGTTGTCACTTCACCATTAACTATAGGCCACTATTCTCCTTTCTGATCAAGTTTCAAAAGATGCCCTTGGAACCCTGGGTGGTGTGTTTCACTGGTTAGAGCTTAGGTGCACCTTGGGAGGAAGAAGAGGAGGATGGGAAAGGCATGGGCATACGCCCAAAAGGGAAAATGCACCCCAAACAATATACTACTGAATGTCAATTGTAATTGAAAATGTTTTAATTACTAAAAAAGCCTCGGGGGTAGGGGGGGCATGTAGGGATTGAACAAAAAAGAAAAAAGAAAGCGAGAACTCGTGGACATGGACCACAGTGTGAGGATTGCGGGAGTGGGGGTAGGGGTGGGGGTGTGGAGGTGGAGGTGGAAGAGGGCATAGAGGCTATAAATGGTGATGGAAAAAATAAAATAATGTTAAAGTCTTTGCAAAAACAGTACATAAATGATGTATGTTTCAATAAACTATATTTACAGAGGTTTTAAAAAGGGAGTAATTGCCCCCGCTGGGTGACTCGGTTGGAGTATTGTCCCCTGCATCAGAAGTTTGCGGATTTGATTCCCAGCCAGGGCACAAACCTAGGTTGTGGGTTCGATCCCCCATCGGGGGCATATTCGAAGCGACCGATGAATGTTTCTTACATCGATGTTTCTCTCTCTCTCAAATCAATAAAACATATCGTCAGGTGAGCATTTTTCTAAAGGGACTAATTAACATCTAACATGCAAGTTCATCAAATTTTGAATGATACCAAATGAAGTACAGCTTTCTCACAACTCTATATATTGGAAACTTATGTGCTACAGGAATAAATCTGGTAATAAGAGAACATCCCAGATTTCTCTCATCCATTAAGGAAATCTCCCAACCTTCTGGAGTATGTTAGAAATTCAAAATATTACAAGTCAGAAAAAAAAAAGCAAAAATACCACCAAACCAGTATTCTATGAAATGCTGAAAGGTATCCTTTAAGAAGAGGAAGAAGAAAAAGGTAAAGATAAAAATTATGAACAACAAATACATATTTATCAACAAGTGAATCTAAAAATCAAGTGAATAATAAATCTGATGAACAGAATAAACTGGTGAATATAATAGAATCAGGGGCATAGAAAGGGAGTGGACTGACAATTCTCGGGGGGGAAAGCGGTGTGGGGGGTGCAGGAAGAGACTGGAAAATAATTGTACACCTATGGATGAGGACAGTGGGAGGGAGGGTAAGGGCAGAGGGTGGGGTGGGAACCGGGTGGAGGGGAGCTATGGGGGGAAAAAAGAGGAACAACTGTAATAATCTGAACAATAAAGATTTAATTTAAAAAAATACGTTTGTAGTACAAGCAAGGTATTGGTGAGTACAGGGCAAAGGATTTCAGTACAGGGCAGTTATATCAGTGACATAGTAAAGTTACTTTTTAAGAAAATGAGCAGAATCATATCAGACCAATGATAGTTACCATTTATTGAGCACTTAGTAGTCAAACATTTAATGTAAATTTTTCATTTATTCCTTACAAAAAAAAACCCAGAGAGGTAGGTTGTTGTTATTCCTAATTTTCACATGTGAAAATCAAGGCTCACATACATGTCCAAGACAACAAAACAAAGAGGTAACAGGACCAGGATGCAAACCACACTAATAACCACTTTAATGTAATGGGATTATCTAAATCTTGATGCCTAACATAGTATTTTATTACAATGTTTGTTAATAAACTATTAGAGAATAACTATTCTTGTTTGAGAACCACCTAATAAGAGTACCCCCCCCCAAAAAAAGAGTACCCAGAATAAAACCTGCAAACCAAGAATGAAGAAAAGTAAACATTAAAACCGTAAACGTTATTTAACATTGCTGATTTTAAAAGCAAGGGCATTTAAGACATGTTACCATTAATAACCATGTGCTCCAGGCTATTTCAAACTGAAAGATCAACAATTATTTCCTGCCCAGCGAGCTTACAAATTACAAAGGCAAACAAGAAACAAATATAGAGTGAACATAGAGAATATATGGTTTAACATGAGAAGAAAGGTCAGTGTTCCCAACAACCAACATTGAATCTATTTCCTGTTTTCTTTGGGTAGTAACAAAAACCTGAAAGAAATTGTATTTAAAGAAGTGTGAGAAATATGAATTCCACCCTGCTGCACTGCTCATAATCAGCCTTTCAAAATGATCTTGAGTCAAAGTCATCTGTTTTTGAGCACCTAAAAGACAGCAAGGAGCCTCAATATTCAAGATTTACAAAAATGGAAACAAATTTTTAAATCATCTTCAGGAAAGAAAGGAGAGTATAGAACCACTGTTAGAATTTAAGAAAAATCACTGGAGCAAAAGGAAAATGATCAAAGATTTTTAATACAATAAAATCCAGAAAGTTAAAAATGGTGATATTTATTTATTTTTTTAAAAATATATTTTATTGATTTTTTACAGAGAGGAAGGGAGAAGGAGAGGGATAGAGAGTTAGAAACATCGATGAGAGAGAAACATCGATCAGCTGCCTCCTGCACACCCCCCACTGGGGATGTGCCAGCAACCAAGGTACATGCCCTTGACTGGAATCGAACCCAGGACCCTTCAGTCCATAGGCCGACGCTCTATCCACTGAGCCAAACCAGTCAGGGCAGAAATGGTGATATTTAGAAAGTTAATTGTAACAGGAAGTCACAAAAGGAGAGTAACTAATGGTATCGAAGTACATGGATTTTTCTAAATTAATGAATTTGACCAAAATTATAGTTGTTTTGTAAAGAGAAGCTGATTGTATATGGATGAGAAGACAATCACAAAGCAAACAGAAAATGTGCTTAATGCATTTGGAGATGCCTAGTTAGAACTAGGTGAATGAAAGGGAGAGAAAAGAAAGCCAGAAAAAGATACCACTGGTACAGTGTATGTATGATGATTTAAAAAGACTTGGTCAACGAGGTTATTGGGGTACAGTTAGAAGGTGTGTTTAGGAGAGTAGGAACACAGAGGTACTGATGAGGGAGAAAAGCAAGTTCTCATTTTCAGAAAGGATGCAGGACTAGAGGAGAGAAAACACTTTTAGTCCCTGTAGGTATGGTAAGTATACATTTGTGGCAGATTTGTGTTTCAAAATAGGAATCTGATTGTTTCTTTCTATTTCCCTCCCCTATTTCTATCTTACTAGTAAACCAAGGGCCTCTCTCCCGCTCCAGCCCTCACAGAACAGATACAAAGATCCGGGGCCACTGCTGACCTATGGGCTAATCCCAGATCCTCCTGTGTGTGCTTGAAGAACTGGTTATTCACTAAGGTGGATAAGAGTGTGCCTAGAGAGAGATCAGAGAAAAGGGAGAATTCTATATAACTAAAAGGTAATATGCAAATTGACCAAACAGTGGAATGACCAGTCACTATGACGCACACTGACCACCAGGGGGCAGACACTCAATGTAGGAGCTGCCCTCTGGTGGTCAGTGTGCTCTCACAGGGGGAGCACGGCTCAGCCAGAAGCCGAGCTCACGGCTGGCGAACACAGCGGCGGTGGTGGGAGCCTCTCCCACCTCCGCGGCAGCGCTAAGGATGTCCAACTGCCAGCTTAGGGTCGGACATCCCCCGAGGGCTCCCAGACTGTGAAAGGGCACAGGCCAGGCTGAGTCCCCCCTCCCCCCCAGTGCATGAATGTCGTGCACCGGGTCTCTAATATAGTGATAAAGGAAGAACTGATAGAAGGAACCAAGAGCCCTCAATGTGGCCAGGAGAAAGAGGATTTTTCTTTAGAAAGTTCTTGGAAGGATTTCAAGAAGATGAGCCATCCGCAAGTGTGGATCACTCACCCTTTAAAAAAAATTAAAAACAAATAAACCTATGACCTATTTGTCATTTAACACTCCTGGATACACACGTAGGCCTGGAAAGAGAGGAAGGGGAGCTTGAACATTCTGGAGGGAACAGGAACATGCCGAAGAACCT